TGCCCTCCCCCTGCCGGCCTGGTCACCCCTAAGTGCCCTCCCTACCAGTCCAGTCACCCCCAACTGCCCTCCCCTGCTGGCCTGGTCACCCCCAACTCCCCTCCCCTGCAGGCCTGGTCCCCCTCAACTGCCCTCCCCTGCAGGCCTTGTCCCTCCCAACTGCCCTCCCCTGCAGGCCTGGTTGTCCCTAACTGCCCTCCCCTGCTGGCCTGGTCACCCCTTACTGCCCTCCCCTGCCGACCTGGTCTCCCCTAACTGCTCTCCCCTGCAGGCCTGGTCGCTCCCAACTGCCCTCGCCTGCAGGCCTGGTTGCTCCCAACTGCCCTCCCCTGCAGGCCTGGTCGCCCCCAACTGCCCTCCCCTGCAGGCCTGGTCACCCCCAACTGCCCTCCCCTGCAGGCCTGGTCGCTCCCAACTGCCCTCTCCTGCAGGCCTGATCACCCCCAACTACCCTCCCTTGCAGGCCTGGTTTCTCCCAATGCCCTCCCCTGCTGGCCATCTTGTGGCGTTCATCTTGTGTCCACATGGGGTGGCCATCTTGTGTGTTTGAGTGATGGTCAATTTGCATATTACCTCTTTATTAAATAGGATTGGCATGGTGAGGCTGAAGTCTCCCCCAAAGGTAAAAATCCATAAAATAAGGGTGTTTTCACCCTCAGGTTTTTTTGTGATCATGCAATAAAATCTCAGTATTGGCTACAAATTACCCAAAATCTCAGGTTCTCTGGTCATTTAAATTTTTTCAAGCTATATTTTAATATGACTTACTTTCTATTAGGTTTAATTTCATATTTAGAACAATGGAAACTGAGTAATAAATACTGATTTAGAGCACATAAGAAAAGTGTACTTGCTTGCTTTGTAATTTTGTTTTCATGGAAAGGAAGAAGAAAACAAACACTAGTATTTCTTATATATTTTTTCATGTTGAGGTAAGTCACAGAAGAAAACTGGGCGAGTCTCTAACCTTTTGTTAATGCAGCTAATCATACACAAAATAGAGCAATTATATACCCATCTGTTTATTTAGAGTATGTAGATTTCATTTCTTTGAGGTCTAAAAAAATCTCTCCTCTGAAATTAAAATTTTGTCTGTGGAGGGACCATTTAGAGCAGTGGTTCTCAACCTGGGGGTCGAACGACCCTTTCACAGGGGTCGCCTAAGACCATCGGAAAACACATATATAATTACATATTGTTTTTGTGATTAATCACTATGCTTTAATTATGTTCAGTTTGTAAAATGAAAATACATCCTGCATATCAGATATTTACATTACAATTCATAACAGTAGCAAAATTACAGTTATGAAGTAGCAAAGAAAATAATTTTATGTTTGGGGGTCACCACAACATGAGTAACTGTATTAAAGGGTCGTGGCATTAGGAAGGTTGAGAACCACTGATTTAGAGGCATAATTTCTTCTGCTGTGGATTCAGTTGTGTTATGGTCAAACCAAATAGGGAGGATTTTCTGACTTTTTTTTCTTATCTTATGTCAGGAAGTGGAGAGACACCTACCCTGGACACCATTGACTCATATATGAACAGACTGCACAGTATTATTTTAGCTAATCCCCAAGACAATGAAAACTTCATAGCTACTGTTCGAGAAGTTGTAAACAGACTTGATCGTTAAGGAATGGTGAGTGCTCACTGATATACTTATATGCCAGCATAACTTCAAAAATAAAATGGCCTTCGACTTTATCAATACTACTAAAACTTTAGAATTATACTGAATAAATGAGTTGGAGACTTGATTCAAGATTCCTGTTGCATACTGGCTAACTGTAGTAAATAATGTTGGAAAACAGAATCAAAACAGTTTTACTCATGTATGCTTCAGCATAGTTTAATGGAAAGAGCATGATTTTTCTGGTTGGACCTTCATTATAGCTTTGTCACTCATTCTCCGTATTCTCGAGTGCTAACTTCCCAAAGAGTTTTGAAAAGTGAGTGAGAAACTTTGAGGAAATCACCCCCAAAACAGCACTTAAATACGAGAACAAAATAAATATCACTTAATTTTTAAGCTTCCTTTCCCCTGGGAAATAATAATGGTAATTTACATTTAGTAGTCAACAAGACATTGTATGTATGTAAACCTACATTTATAAGAAGCTTTTTATTCACCATTGAATATTAGAGTGACAGTTGTATATTAACTGTTAATGTGGACTAACCTTACAGTGAAACAGTTAGTGCCTTGATTAAATTAATTAAAATATAAATTTTCAATAAGCAAAAATGAGAGGAGAGAGAAAATTAGCTTTTTAAAAATATATTTAACAGCTCTGGCCAGGTGTCTCAATTGGTTTGAACGTCATCCCATACACCAAAAAGTTGCAGGTTTGATTCCCAGTCAGGGTAAATACCTAGATTGTGAGGTTCAATCCCCTGTGCATATGGGAGGCAGCCAATCTATGTGTGTCTCTCACATCAATGTTTCTCCTTCTCTCTCCCTTCCTCTCTTTCTAAAAAATCAATAAACATATCCTTGGGTGAGGATAAAATATATGTATATTCAACAAATTACTAATGGTATGTGTTATGTCCTTTCAGAGGAGACAAAAAGTACATTTCCAGAAGGGATCTGCCCATGTAAACAATTTGGTACCAATGGTCAGTCATCGGGTATCATTTTTTAAATGGAACGTGTATTTATACACTCAAATTCCTAGAGATAGAGTACCCTTTAGTATGCCATCCCACAAAATTGACAGCCTTTTGTCAATTAAATTGTTCCGTGCCTACAGACATACAAGCTGTGTGGAAATCCTAGTATGTGGATACTAAAACAAGAGTGAGTAGCAGGATATGCTCCTTAGAATGGCCAAACCTGAGTTTGAATCTTTTATTTATTTGTCCTGCAGGTATGTGAGCACACTCATATACATATTCATATTCATTTTCAATATTTATTTATTTATACGAATAAATAAAATCAATGATTCTTTTTTTTTTTAATTTCATTGATTGATTAGAGAGAGAAATTTGCTGTTCCACTTATTTATGCATTCATTGGTTGATTCTTGTATGTACCCTGACTGGGGATGGAACCCGCAATCTTGGTGTATTGGGACAGTGCTCAAACTAGCACCAGGCTAGGGCTCCCATGATTCTTTATCTAACTAGGCAATATCTGCTAGCAGAGACAGAAGCAGTAGTCTTTATCCTTCTTGGCCATGGCCTTGGATGATAACCATACAAGGCAATTCATTATACTTTAGCCTCAGCCATGCTCTGATGGAGAAAGAACTACTGTTTTTCTAGTAAGTGGTTAGATGGAAGGGACTATACTTATAAGATATGGCCGTACTGCCTGCAGAATAAAGCACTAGCATTACTGCTGCTTTTTGTGAAGGGAACAGCTTGTAAATCTAGGCCTGGGATTTTTGAGAAGCTCATCATCTTTCTCATTTTCACATATTGTTTTCTTGTGGGCTTGAAAAGAGAGCTGGGAGAAACAGTGTAGGAGATTGTGAAAGAACACAATAACAGATAACATGGTGTCGCCTCACATAGGTATAGGGCAGTTATTTTTGAGCCAAAAGTGGTTTTCTGTTTTGAGCATTTTGCTAATAATAAGATGGTCCTAATACTTTACCAGTCTTAGGGATATAAACTTTAGTATCTTTTCTGAAGTGTCTTTTTTTTTTTAATGTCTTTACCAATTTTTTGTTTGTTTGTTTTTGAGAGAGGAGAGAGAGAGGAGAGAAAGAAACATCGATCCGCTGCCTCCCACACGTACCCCAACTGGGACCAGTAACCTTTTGGTGCACGGGACAATGCTCAACCACTGAGCCACACTGGCCAGGGCCAAAGTGTCTTTGAAAACCTAGAATGTTATTATTCTTTATTTTAAACTACAAATATTTTGCCTTGAAAAAATAATACCTGAAAATGAATTATTTTATTACTTACAGATTCTTACAATCTAGCCATGCAATCATAACTAAAACTGGATACCCCAGACCCTCAAAACTGTCAAACAAAACGTTATAAATACTACAATTAATACTAGCTTGGCTTCATTATACAAATATGTACAGACACCTAGGCCTGATGTCCTCAGCATTTGTGGTGCCACTGTCAGGAGCCAGTGAGTGAAGGGAAGCTAATGGTCTCCATATTAGAGGAGCAAATTATCACTAGAAGGGACCTTTAGAAATTCTAATATTTTTACATATAAAGAAACTGAGTTCCAAAGAGGCGAAATGTCTTACCTGGAAATAGCTATGTAAACGACTGCAGAATCCAGGTATAGGACACATATATCAAAACTCTGGGTTAGTGGAGTTTCTAAAACGTTATTAAGGAGGTGGGAGGTGTGTAAGGGGAAAGCACTAAAAATTTTTAGAATGAAAGCATTAAGATAAATAAGAGGTAAATAGAAAAAAATTACAATATAGTAATTATAATGTTATAAAATTTTGGTCAACCAAGTAAAAAGTTATTTTTATAGATTTGCAATGGAAGAATTATCCCAGTTGGCATCTTTCTTTGTGGCTAACCTGTACCTAGAAAAAAAAATGGCTCTGGGAGGCCTCGGAAGTGATTTCATGTTGACAAGTGACCACTTTATATACAAACTATCAAAATCAATATGTTGCTTGATTTCAATCTAACTGAATGATAAATATCTGGCTGTTTGAGGGTTGGAAAAAAAAAACTTAAGTGATTGCATTTTTATCAGTTTAACAAGATTTACTGATCATATGCACATAATATATGCACATGCAGAGATTCTTAGACTATACTTGAAGAAAAATGATTTTAATTGACCATCTACTCTTTGGACTAAAGTAGAGTACTAATTTTCTTTCATCAGATTTGTCCCTGATAGTTGCTTATCTGTGTTCAGCTAAACAATTTTCCTACATCCCCATTTCTCTCTCTCTCTCTTTCTCTCTCTCTCTCCCCCCCTTTTCTCCCCCTCCCCCACACCTACAGGTATTAGAGCTCCAAGATGTGAGGAAGGAGAAGCCATCTCTGAAAATTTGAACTGAGTAGAAGCAGAGGAGTACAGATGACTCTGCTTGTGAAGGAACTATCAGCTGTGAGTTAAATGCCTTCACCCAGGAAGCCATATGAGGGAGCGGCAAAAAGAACATGTTTATGAGCTTCCTATGGAATCCTCTTTGCGAAGCTTTGAAAGTGTGCAGCCACTCTCCCAAGTCTTCAGTTTTCTATCATCTGCTTTTCTGTTAAATTGGATCTGCATATAATCTATTGTCATCTTCTGCAGCATAAAGGAAGCCTTCTCATTGTTCTACTTCAGATTTGGACCCTTTTATCAGTGGCACTCTGGTTTTCTTATCTACCTGTCACTTTTTTAATGCCTTTGGTTGTTATCTTTTTATTCCCTTAACCCCCACCAAGTTACACTTCTCCATTTTCTGACCTCTGGGCTTTGTTGCTCAGCAGGGTTCTGAAAGAGAGTTTCTCTTATTGGACAGGCCCAATCTTCTCCTATCTTCAGCCTACTTGACTCCAAAGAAAGGAGCTTCTTTTTAACTAGGTTCTGTGGCGGAGACTGTTTCCTGTCCCACACAGTGTGCAGTGGGTGCCAGCCCTCGTGGAGGCTTTGTGATTGCTACCCTGAGAAAAAGCTTTCCTTCCTCCTCAGTACTGCCTGCTGTTTTCTGAGCTTAACTCCTACACATACCCTGCATTCCAGCCCAGATTCTTCTGTTCCCATCTGTTGACAATGTCTTCTGGAGCATTTTTTGCTGTGGAAAAAATCATTGGTAATTAGGAGAGAACAGAAAAAGTAGTCTCTCATTTGGCATTGGGGAAAATAAAAAGGTTTATCATAAGTAAAACTGACTCTACTTAAGGTACACTGATTCGTGGATGTGGATAGGCAGAGATGTCATCACAATAGTCTCTTGAGCTGACAAGAAAGGACACAGAGGAATTCCCATGTCCTTTGTCTTCCTTCTATAACCATACTGTAGAATCTATTGCAAAAGGACAGGCTTTCCTTCCTTTTCCCCCTTTAGTAAGTACATTTTTTTAAAAAACACCAAAGAAAAGAGGGGTTCCTGATTCACACCTAAAGGTTTGGTTTTGTCTTGATGCTCTACAGCACAAGACTGTCTGTTGCAGCTCTGGTCTTTGGAACCAAAGCCAGGCATGCTCAGCCCATTGTCCAGGCACCACACTACTAAAGCAGGTGGACGTGTGGCCTCCTCACAACATTCTTACAAATCAGGGTGCAAGTCGGAAACCCCCTGGTGACATTGCTGTACCATCCTGTCTTTTTACCTGATTTCTTCAATAGCCCAAAGAGGTGGGGAGATAGCCTTTTTAATTTAATTTTTAAATGTATTTTTATTATTGATTTCAGAGAGGGAGAGAGAGATAGAAACATCAATGATGAGACAGAATCACTGATCAGCTGACTCCTGCATGCTCCACACTGGGGATTGAGCCTGAAACCCAGGCAAGTGTCCCTACTGGGAATCGAACCATGATCTCCTGGTTCATAGGTTGACACACTGAGCCACACCAGCCAGGCAGGACAGCCTTTTTTAATGTCTCATATGAGCACACATCAAATTTCCATGCACTGAAGCCCACATATCACCACTTGGCAATATTTTAGAATAAGAGCCCATCATTATCTATGGCTTATTGCTATAATCCTAGCCTACTAATCTGCTTTTTTCCGTATTTTTCTATTCTGTTCTCACCTGTCACTGCTGGTGCTGTCACTTCTCTCAGATTCCTTGCCTGCTAAATCCAACCTAGAACACACTGTCTATAGCAGAAGGACATCCAAGCCAGTTCTGGGAATTTGTGACTGCCCTCTGCCAGATACCTTCTGATTTTTCTTCCTCCTGATATTTCTCTTGTTTCTTCCTCCTGTTAGTTTTGTGCTGCTATGTTAGAGTGCTCTTAACCAGGAAAGGCTATAACTTAGTCCAAAGATCATCATTCTCCTGACTCTAGATATAGAACACCTGACATTGACTTAAAACATCTGCATATTCAGGAATGCATGAGATCTTGAAAAAGCCTACAGTCTGAAATCATTTTCACAAAATAAGCAGCCTGCTTTTGAAATGCTGGCTCTCCCAGCACCTATATCCCTGACTCACTGGTGACTGGGATTCAACTGCCACAATACCATCAGGTCCCATAAAGCAGGTCTGTGTTGCCTCCTCTCTCCTCTGTGGCCAACCAGGAGGTAGCAAATGAGGTTTCAGACTAACATGATACCTAATTCATGCTTTCCGATAACCTTATCGATATTACTGCATTTATGGTCTTCTCAAAAAATCAGTTGTTCCCTATTCAATGTTACAGATTTTTTTTTTATTAAAACACAAGGGACAGCTAAGGAAAGTGAGACAAAGTGTTTTATTTCTAACAAAATTAAATTTTAGAAAAAATATGTGTACATATATTTGGAACTGTTGAATTGCCAAGTTTTCTGTACAAATGTTTTTGTAATTAAACTTTTGTATTTTTTTTGTTTTTTAAGAAGTCAATATGCTTGCTTGACATCTGCCTTATTAAAACTTTTATGTTGAGTCCATCCTATTCAATTTTATCTGCATTGTAATGAAAAAACTCCTACCTCTGCCTTTTCATCTTAAAGATTGTCAACCCTACATTAATTATTAAGTTTGTTATGCTTTTAAAACAGTAACACATTCATTTTACTAATTTCTTATTCAAAATGTATCTCAGCCTGTTTGAGAATTCAGCTCTTTTAAAGTATTTTATAACAATACCATGAGCTGTAATTCATTTTAATATAGCAGTAGTATTCTGGAGGCAACTTAAAAGAAGTCTGATTTTTCTTTGTTGTTGTTTTTGTTAATCCTTACCTGAGGATATTTTTCCATTGATTTAGAGAGAGTGGAAGGGAGGGAGGGGGAGAGAGAGAGGAAGAGAGAAAGACAGGAGAGAGAAAGAGAGTGAGAGAGAGAGAGCAGGTGAGAGAGATACATTGATTGGTTGGTTGCATACCACATGCATCCCAACTGGCCCAGGTATCAAACCCACAACCCAGGTATGTGCCCTTGACTGGAATTTGAACCCGAGACCCTTCTGTCCACAAGCTGACACTCTTAACCACTGACCAACACCGGCCAGGGTAGAAGTCTGGCAGTGTGGCTCAGTTGGTTGGAGCATTGTCATTGGAGTGTCATATCCCATACACTGAAAGGTGGAGGGTTTGATCCCCAGTCAGAGGTGCATGGGGGAGGCAGCCCTGACTGACCCAGGATTGAACCTGCCACCTGGGTATGTGCCCTGACTGGGAACTGAACCTATGACCTTTCAGTGTATGGGACAACGCTCCAATCAACTGAGCCACAGGGCCAGGGTGCCACCATGCTTTTAAAATCCTAGGGTGAGGTAAACTGGCTTCCTCAGCCTGATGCTGTCCAAGAAAACAGTTGTGTGGCATTGGGCAAGATTTGCTTTGTTCCAACACTAATTTCCTTTTTTTTTTTTTTAGTTGGTTTTTGTGTTTTTGATTAATCCTCATTGGAGGATATTTTTTTCCATTGATTTTTAGAGAGAGTGGAAGGCAGGGAGAGAGGGAGAGAGGCATTGATTGATTGCCTCCTGCACGTGCTCCGACCCAGGCCGCGGATTGAACCTGCAATCCAGGAACATGCGCCCTTGACCAAGATTCTAACCCATGACCCTTCAGTGTGCAGGCCAACACTCTAATCATAGAGCCACACTGGCCAGGGCTAGTTTTCTCTTCTGACCTAACACAGGCCTCAGCAATTTTACACTGTTGTTAGAAAGATAGAATTGGCTTAACAGAATTGACCCTACTTGGGAGGATATGAAGACTTTGCTAAATGAATACCAAAAACTATTGAGGTAAATCAGGATTGGACTTGACAACAATTTAACAAACCCAAATCAGCAAAAGGTTAAACAAGAAATGTGTCTCTCTCTCAGAAAAGTATTCCAGAGGTTGGCAATCCAAGATCAGTATAGAGCTCCTCTGCCCCATAACATGGTTCCATTTTCAACGTCACCTCATGGTCCAAAATAGCCACTTGTCCATTAGTCATCATTTGAAATTCTTGGCAGCATAAAGAAGAGGGCAAGGACAAAATGGGAAAATCTAGCTGAGTCAGCATACTGTAAAGAGTCTTTCTGGAAATCACATTCACCCCTTCCAGAACTGTCACATGACTAACAGCTAGCTATAATGGAGGTCAAGAAATGTCATCTTTCCTTGGATATTACTGCCCCCAATAATAAGCGGTGTTAGTTGATAAAGAAGGAGAAAATGACTATAGAGTAGGCAACTGACAGCTCAATTCATGATTCATATTTCTGACTCCATGTGCATGCACTAAGGCAAGGCATGTTGTATTAGTGAGCAGGATACATTATCTTGCCTTTGCCTCTTGGCCATCTGGGAATGATCATATACTTCTCTTTTTTTTTTCTTTATTGATTAAGGTATTACATATGTGTCCTTATCCCCCCATTCCCCACCCCCTCCAAAGCCGTTCATGCCATCATATACTTCTTTGGCACTTTTCCCAAAAAAACAGTTGAAAACTAGCTGCATTCTGAATCAGCATTTCCTGTCCCCACCTTAGCTTCTCTCCAACCCCTCATCAGCTGGTGACCAGTCTTTTTTATTAAAAGTCAGCATAAACAGGCCCTGACCGGTTTGGCTCAGTGGATAGAGCGTCGGCCTGCAGACTCAAAGGTCCCAGGTTCGATTCCAGTCAAGGGCATGTACTTTGGTTGCGGGCACATCCCCAGTAGGGGGTGTGCAGGAGGCAGCTGATCGATGTTTCTCTCTATCCCTTTCCCTTCCTCTCTGTAAAAAATCAATAATATATATTTTTAAAAAAAAAGTTAGCATAAACAGGTGGTAATATTTCCCCCATTTTCTAAATGTTCAGCATCTGCTAGATTAAGACAACACCAGGATAATCTTTCCCTGAGGGTGGAGAAAGTGAAGTGTTGCTTGGTAGAAAAGTGCAGAACAGCCTCGTGCCCTCTTAAAGGATTTCATGCAACTGACAGTTCTGAGTCAAGGGCTTTTTCTTTGTTTTATTTATTTATTTACCTTTTGACACATAGTCTGCACTCAGAAATATACCTTATCTACAGAAATAAACACTTGGCTCACATGTGAGCTCATAGAGGTCAGGATTGAGAGTAACAACTGAGCCATGGCCGGCTGGGCAAAAGTCAGAATTATTTATCACTAGCTCCTGTGTTCTCTGATTCCATTCACTATTTGGGACTACAAAAGTGTTTCTAAAACATGGTTTCTGCCGCTAGGGTGTTACAGTCTAGTGGGAAGGATAGAGATGTGCATAAATAGTTCCAGCACAGAGCACCCTGTATTAAGAGCTTTAATAGAGGAAAATGATTTTTGGAAAGTGAAAGAATTGCCTGAATCTCACTTGATAACAGATGAATTTTCCATAATTGCAAAAGAGTTTGCAATGGGGAATAGAGCAGAGTCTTGGGTGATCAGCATCTTAACTAATAAGGACTTTATCTGAAATTTAAATGAAATATAAAAGTCTAAACTGATAACCATTAGAGTTTTTCTAGTAAAAGTTGAGGTATCTGGAGATAAGAGTAGTTAGATTAATTGTAATTTAAATAAATGTTTTTTTAAAGTATGCTTTTGACTTAATAGATCATTAAATAAGTTGTTAAAAATTGTTTAATTAAATTGAAAAACTATCAAAATATTCTACATATAATAAGGGTAAGTATTAAATTGTAAAACTTTCATGCACATGTGCTGGATTACAATGTAAAATTTATTTCTTATCCTGGGGTCAAAATAAAGACAGTCAATGACTATTTCACTGCCTCTGAAATTGGATGGAACTGCTGGGTTCAGGTTTGGGCTCTGCAGTTTTCTACTTGTGTAATCTTAGGCAAGTTGCTAAAATTACTGGGGCTCAGTTTTCTCAGTTTGTATTGTACAGACTTTTTATATGGATTAAATTAATTAACCCATGTAAAACACTTAGAATAGTGTCACAAAAGACACCTAAAAATATTAGCTATTACAATTCACAAAAGAGTCAAAGGAAAAGATAATAGACACATATTACTAGGTGTGCCGGTTAATAATGCAGATTTTGTAATCAAAGAAAACATGATAATTTCAAGAGAAACATCAGAAGTGCTTTATTCAAAGTAATGTCCAATGCTAGCTACACATTTCCCCCATCTTTTAGGTAATTTGTGGATACTGTCCCAATAGAACTTTTCTTGATTTGAGGCAAACCATTCAGAGACCCAATTTTCCACTTCTTTGTACATTTTGAAGTGCTGCTCAGAAAGTGCATGTGCCATTGATTGGAACAAGTGGTAATCTGAAGGAGCAAGGTCTGGTGAATATGGTGGGTGGGTTAATACTTCCCAGGCAAGATTTTTTAACATGTCTTTAACTGGTTTTGAAGTGTGTGATGGTGTGTCGTCATGAAGCAAAATTACTTTGCCATGTCTTCTGGCACATTCTGGTCATTTCACAATCAAAGCGTGGTTCAAATTGATTATTTGTTGTTGGTAGCGATCAGTATTAATGGTTTCACCTGGTTTTAGAAGCTCATAATACACCACACCTTCCTGATCTCACCAAACACAGAGTCTTCCCAAAGCGATTTGATCTTGCAGTCGATGATGTTTGACCTGGATCAACCCATGATTTTGTGCATTTGGGATTCTCAAAATAAATCCACTTTTCATTGCCAGTCACAATTCGATACAAAAAAGACTCTTTCGTGCCATTGAAGCAACATTTTTTTTTGCATTTTTTTTAATTTTGTTTTATTGCTTAAAGTATTACAAAGAGTATTATATGTCTCTTTTTTTTTCTCCCCTTGACCTTCCCCTGGCCTCCCCTACCCCCCAGTGTCTTGTGACCATTGGTTATGCTTATATGCATGCATACAAGTCCTTCGGTTGATCTCTTACCCCCCCTCCCCCAACCCTCCCCGGCCTTCCCACTGTAGTTACATTTTACTGATGACTTTTCGGTTTTCCATTTGTCTTTCGTTCAGTTGATGTGGCACCCATTTTCCTTCCTTTAAAATCTTTCCCATTGCTTGTAAATGATCGGAAATTGTTTGCTGAGCAACATTTAAGCTGCAAGTTGTTTTTGAGTTTGACACCGCATCTTAATCCAACCATGCTTGTAATTGTTGGTCTTCAAACTTTTTCGGTTGACCTGGATGTTCTTTGTCTTTCACATCAAAATCATCACTTTTAAAGTGTTTAAACCAGCATTCACAAGTATCTTGAGATGGAGCATGTTCACCATAAGCTTCCCGAAGTATACGATAATTTTTTCTTCAAAATAAAGTGATGAATTAAAACTTCCCGCAAATGCTCTTTTTTTTGGCACGAAATTTGACATTTTTAAGCGTAAAAATATCTATGATGTGAACACGTTCAGAAAATTTGACATGTGAAGTTTTGAAGCTTGCTGTCAGTACAACAAAATAGCATACATATCAAATCGAATATGTATCAACATATGTGTAACTCCATCTATTGAAAAAAAAATCTGCATTATCAACCAGTACACCTAGTATAGGCCAAGCAGTCTGCTTTGCTTTTTATATAAATTATGTAATTTAAAAATTCCTACCTCAACTTTATAGAGTAGGACTATTATACCAATTTTAAAGAAGTAAATTAAGACTCAAAGGTGATAAGTAACTTGTACAGTTATACAATTGGGAAGTGGCAAAGAAAGGATTTATACTCAGTTCTGAGTCCACATTCCACTGTAGCCATACTGCCTTAGAGATATTTAATGAGACTGACATGAGTTCAAAGGGAAAGCATCAAAATTAGACCTAATCATTCATATTTGTTGAATATCTTGTGTTGGGATATATTCTAAGCCCCTATACCAGCCGTGGGCAAACTACGGCCCGCGGGCCAGATCCGGCCTGTTTGAAATGAATAAAACTAAAAAAAAAAAAAAAAAAAAAAGACCGTACCCTTTTATGTAATGATGTTTACTTTGAATTTATATTAGTTCACACAAACACTCCATCCATGCTTTTGTTCCGGCCCTCCGTCCAGTTTAAGAACCCATTGTGGCCCTCGAGTCAAAAAGTTTGCCCACCCCTGCCCTATACCCATGAAGCTCTTATATTCTGCTGGAGGAAAAGAGACTAAACAAGTAACCTAACAAAGTCATCTCAGATAGTCAAGACAAGATGAAATGATACAAGCTGACTAGGAAAGAGGAATGTCCTCTCTGAAAAAGTAACTTGAAGGAAGACCTTGTTGGGGAGGAGCCAGCCCTGTAAGGACTTGGAAGATAGAAAAGCCAAAGCCCTGAGATAGGAATGAGCTCTGGTATTTCAAGGAACAACAACAAACCAACAAAAATGGTGCAGCTGGAGCAGAGTAATGAGAGGTTAGAGCAGTTTTGAAATTGCCAAGTAGGCAATAAAGAAATCATGTAGAGTCTTATAAGGTGTGGTAAAGAGTTTCAATGGTATTGTAAGTGTGGTGTGAAAAGGATGCTTACACAAGTGACAAGATGCGATTTATATTGTTAAAGATCACTGGCTGATGTGTAGAGAATTGTGGGGAGGCAAGAGGAATCAGTTCAGGTGATAATTGACAGAAGTTGCTGAGGGAGTGTAAGAAAATGAAAGAAAAAGAATCAAGAACAACTAGGTTTTTTGGCTTGAGCAACTTGGTGGTGGATAAAGGTTATAAATATTTCTCTCTTTTCCGCATCCAGCATGGCTAGAGAGCGGTCTGGTTCCTGAGTAGGGGTGGCTGGAGATTGAGAAAATGAAAGAAAGAGACAGACACAGAAATAGAAAAAGCTGGGGCCGGTAGGACAGCTGTCCTCTGATGGAGAGACAGTGACCCAGAGCCGATCAGCGCATTTATTTTATACAGCAAAATACCAGGAAGTTTTACTGAAGCCCAAGACAGGAGATTATGTGCATTCTTGTAGCTTCTTTGTAATTGTCACTTCTGGGTGGGCCCAGATAATTGTGTTTGTTTCTGGTGCTTGGCTGGATTTAGATAATGAAACCCACCCCCCTGGCACCTGAGCTGAAGGTCAGGCTGACAATACACCTGCCTCTCTCTGGCAAGGTATGTTTCCAGGGCATGGCTCTGCCAGGCACCGCTGGATTCAGATGACAGTCAGCTCAGGGGCCTTTCCCAGGCGCTCTCTACAAAAGGTTCCACTGCTTGAGATGGCCTAAACTTAAAGATGAAACATTATGGAAGAAAAATTCAAGAATTCTGTTTTGGGTGGAACTTTCCAGAATGCTTGGTGAGAGGTAAAGGAGCGGCGGCCTCCTGAGCTGCATACAGCAACGCGCTCTTCCCAGCTCCTCCACACCTGCCTCGGCCCACTCACCGGCTGTCATAAATGGTGAAAGAAACCACTTACTATGATGTTTTGGGGGTCAAACCCAATGCCACCCAGGAAGAACTGAAAAAGGCTTATAGGAAGCTGGCCTTGAAGTACCACCCTGTTAAGAATCCAAATGAAGGAGAGAAGTTTAAAGAGATTCCTCAAGCTTACGAAGTGCTCTCTGATGCAAAGAAAAGGAAATTAAATGACAAAGGAGGAGAACAAGCAATTAAGAAATGTGGAACAGGTGGTGGTTTTGGTCCCCCCATGGACATCTTTGATATGTTTTTTGGAGGAGGAGGAAGGATGCAGAGAGAAAGAAGAGGTAAAAATGTTGTGCATCAGCTCTCTGTAACCTTAAAAGACATATAATGATGCAAGGAGAAAACTAGCTCTACAAAAGAATGTGATTTGTGACAAATGTGAAGGCCGAGGTGGTAAGAAAGGAGCAGTAGAGTGCTGTCCCAATTGCCGAGGTACTGGAATGCAAAAAAGAATTCATCAGATAGGCCCTGGAATGGTTCAGCAAATTCAGTCTGTGTGCATGGAGTGTCAGGGCCATGGGGAAAGGATCAGTCTAAAGATAGATGTAAAAGCTGCAACGGAAGGAAGATAGTTCGAGAGAAGAAGATTCTAGAAGTTCATATTGATAAAGGCATGAAAGATGGCCAGAAGATAACATTCCATGGTGAAGGAGACCAGGAACCAGGACTGGAGCCAGGAGATATTATCATTGTTTTAGATCGGAAGGACCATGCTGTTTTCACTCGACAAGGAGAAGACCTTTTCCTCTGTATGGACATACAGCTGGTTAAAGCTTTGTGTGGCTTCCAAAAGCCAATAGCTACTCTTGACAACCGAACCATAGTCATCACCTCTCATCCAGGTCAGATTGTCAAGCATGGAGATATCAAGTGTGTATTAAATAAAGGCATGCCAGTTTATCATAGACCATATGAAAAGGGTCGCCTAATCATCGAATTTAAGGTAAACTTTCCTGAGAATGGCTTTCTCTCTCCTGATAAACTCTCTTTGCTGGAAAAACTCCTACCTGAAAGGAAGGAAGTAGAAGAGACTGATGAAATGGACCAGGTAGAACTGGTGGACTTTGATCCAAATCAAGAAAGACAGCGCCATTACAATGGAGAAGCATATGAGGATGATGAACATCATCCTAGGGGTGGTGTTCAGTGTCAGACCTCTTAATGGGGCCAGTGAATAACACTCACTGCTGGCATTTTATATACAGTAGTGAATGAGTGAAGGACTGTAACCATAATATGCTCACTACTTGCTATTGTTTTTGTTTTAATATTCAAGTATAGTAGTGTTTTAAAAGTTAAATGAAGAATAAACTCAAATATAAAAGCTCTGACTTTGCCCTATATGTATGATGACTTGTGTGCAAGATAAGTTTAATACCTGTAAAAAAATTCCCCTAGCATTTGCTAGGCCATACTTTGTAATTAATTTCAGCTATGTACATGGAATAGCTTAGACTGAAATGCTAGATATATGTATTGACTTTGGTGTGTGACCCTTAATTGTTAAGCTATGAAGTTACAATTCTGTATTTAACTGACAGTCAGACAAAGAACTGAATTTGTAGAGAAGTGTTAGTTTGTATAGTTGTATTAAGTGGGATTCATTGTGATGCCTCTGCATTTATTCTGTTGCCTCAACTGTTACTTGAAGGTGGCATGCCATATAATTTAACCTGTGGTATCAGTGATAGAAATGATACCTTTCCAAAGAAGGGGTTTATCATAATCTGCTTCTTGAGGGCTTGCACCTGTAGAATTGCATTCCCTTCTGTGGTGCCATCTTTTTTATTATTATTATATATAACTATATATCAGTCCTTGGTTACATTTTTTCCCCCTTCTCTTTGGACCATAAGCCTTAGAGTAGTTACTTCTAGAGTAGGCTAACTTAGAAGCTGAGTGATGAAACCTTCACATGGAGAAGTAATTTGCATGTATGAGATCGGAAGGTGTGTTTTAGGTATGTTACCGGCTTACTTTAAACCATTTAACTTATGCTCCAAAGTAACTGTAATTTAATGTTGTTAGTATAGCAAATTATGAATAACTTTAATTGTATGTTTAAAGTCATATGTTCACAAACTTAAATCTGGATATCAGAATTTAAGCAATTCTTGAAATGTATGAATGTCTCCTTAATACACTGATTACAAAGTAAAAAAAAGGATTCTGTTTTGAACTTTCTAAATTTGAGATTCAATCAGCAGATTAACCCCCAGGGAAGGTACATCTCTCTGTTATCCATTAAAAGAATCCTTTCTGCTCTTAAATGCTGTGGTTCCATGAGATTTTAACTTCAGGTCAGTGTTTGCTAACATTCCTTCCACCCTCAGCATGTGCACACACACATAGATACAGTTAAGCTCTTTGTTGAATTATGAAATTAAGAAATGGTTTCCGCCGAAACCGGTTTGGCTCAGTGGATAGAGCGTCGGCCTGCGGACTGAAAGGTCCCGGGTTCGATTCCAGTCAAGGGCACGTACCTGGGTTGCAGGCACATCCCCAGTAGGAGATGTGCAGGAGGCAGCTGATCGATGTTTCTAACTCTCTATCTCTCTCCCTTCCTCTCTGTAAAAAATCAATAAAATATATTTTTAAAAAAAAGAAATGGTTTCCTTTTTAATTCTTCAAGCTCCTTAAGAAGGAATTTTCAAAAATCCTTGCATCTGCATTTAAGATTGGCATAAAGCAGCTAAATGTTCTACAATATAAAAATCATACCATCCCCTGATGGTTAGAAAATACTTGGGCAAGTAATATAAAGTGTCTGCTTGAAGAAGACTGACCAAAAATATATTTGGCATCATTCAAAGAAGGTTGGTGCTTAGCCACTGTGTTGTCCCATGGCTGTCCTATATAAGTCCATTGGGGAATTCCATTTGCCCACAGTCTGAACCACTTCTCATATGTGGGATAGAGATCCTTCCTGAAATAATACAATTGCCCAGGTATGGGGCCCTTAACTCCACACAAAAGACTCTAAAGGCCTCTGACTTTAATGGAAGTCTTTATCCCTGTGCCTGTGTACATAAGGGATGTGTATTGTTTTTACTCTTTGATTTAGAAAAACTTTAATCCTTTTAACTGGCCTTTAATAGCTGGGCTAGTAATTTGTTGTTATCTCATATTTCTAACAGTCTTGGACCCTCAAGAGGATTGGTAGTGTGAGACAGCTTCCCTTAAGAACAGAGTATTTTCTGTTAATCTGATTGGACCGAGATTTAATCTTGCCCTGGGTTTAAATTCTGTTTTCAGTTAGTTTTCAAGATTAGGTAACAAAAAACCTTATATATATATATATTTTTTGAGCATTTGTATATGTGAGGCTACTACCTGTGGAAGCAGCATTTAATGACAAGTAGGATCGTTTGCATGAATTAGAACATAGCAGTTATGTCTGTAATATGTGGATGAAAGGGGCCACATGCTAATCTGACAAGCTCAGGGAAAGCCTGCATGGCGGTCTTGCAAACTCAGAGACCTAAAGTAACCACAAAGGATGGTCTGAAATAAAACTTTAAAAACAGTTATGGTGGGTAGTTACATCCTACGCCGGTATCTTCACTGACAAGGTGAAGGTCAACCTTTACCTTAACTGAGCCTATCTGTCTTTTTGCATCTATAATAACATACCCTTGAAATGTCTGAGTAACTTGTAACTTCCCTTTTTTTGGACCCCTTGGGACACAACCAAATGTGCTGGGCACCAGGACAGATACCACAAATTCCTTCATTGTTATCATATTCATTGTTCCTGCACCCACCTAAGTATGTGTCTATATTTTACTTTATAGCCAATCCCAGGGGTTTTCCCACTTTGCTTTCTCCTGCCATTCTCTGGAGCATTGTCTCAATTCTTTGAGGTTCTGCTTCCTGGCATATGTCAACAGTTTGGCTCAAATAAACTCACAAAAATTCTTTACAGGTTTCAATGGTTCTTTTACGTTAACATTACTTGGTATAATTGGCAAGATTCCAAATAAGCTCACCCAGGACCATCCCTTGGACTCAGACTTGGTGCTAGGATCCAGCAAAGGGCCCATTGAGCCCACCAGTTCTCTGCCCATTGGGTTAACTTGGGTGAGTTGTCTCTTGGATCCAGGACCTTCCCTTGCTTTGGTAGAGGGTCTGAATTTATTTGAGCTGTGTTTTAAAATCCTCAAGGTGGAACCAGGGTTGACAAAACCCAGGTCAAGGGTTGATAGAACCCAGGCTAAGGTGGGACTGGAGGAAAAATGGGTGGCTGGTTTTGATTTTGGCTTTTCAATTGGAATTGCTGAGAGTCTAAGCAAAAAAAACCAAAACCCTTCACAGTATAAATGAACTGAACTCATTCAGCTCCAAAGGTAAAGGGGCACATCCTCCCTCCAGTCCGATTCTGTGGTGTTCTTAGGTGACTAAGACCTTAGAGGAGGTGTCAGAAATGCAGGAGCCCCATAGGGAAGTCCCAACGCAACTGTAATTAACTAAATGGCTCATCTAGGGGGCCACCATAAGGCTTGGTCTGCCTGGCCCCTGAACCTTTCCTGTGGTTTTAGATAGCCAGGAGAGAAACTGAGGCCACACTTGACCCACTACATAACATGTCTAAAAAATTTGCTCAGACTACAGATATAAAAATAATAATAATAATAATAATAACATGGGAAATTGTGCCTCCAAGGCCAGAAGCTCCCAAACCCCAGCCCTCACTAATACTCCTGATTGGAAGCCTTTACTTGCAAATGCTATACAGAAATTAGAAGATTTAACTAGAAAATATTAACTTAGAAATGGCCAAAATGCAGTTTTGGGGTACCTATATTAATATTTTGCATGCAGAAATTAGAAAAATGTCGACTATGAAATTAAACTGAATGACTATATGGGAAGCATAGCTTGATTTGGAAATTAGAAGCTTCTAAGGAAAAGCATAGAAAAATATTCTTCCCAAAAGATGGAAATTAATAAGAAATTTTAGACTGTCTCAGAACTATTCTGAAGTTAATAAATGCCTACACCCCGTTTTCCTCCCTGTAGGAAGCATGCCTCTGATCTCCATAGAAAAGAAACAATAGGTGGCCAGGCCTTTACTGAATTTCCCAAAAACAAGCAGGATGTAGGGTTGGGAAGAGAAGAGGGTATGAGTGGTACACATGGCCTATGGCACATGTCCTAAGAAGATTCCCTTAGACAAAGGGAGTTAGAGGCAACTAGAAAAGGCCCCAGCCCATTTTTTAAATAATCTATTGGGAGAATGCTGAGGTTCTAGAGAAGGGCAGTTCCCAAACTGGGGACAAAAGACATTGCTTTGGTGGTTTTTAATGCTAGACATTCTGTGGTGTAAACTTTTAGTATGTTGTGAGTGCCTGTATAAGAGTGTTGATGTTTTGTGTCTCTTTGTTGTTTGTTTAATTTGTTTAAAGAGGAGGCAAGTCCCACTTTGGGGAAGCCCAGTTACGCGTGGTGAGGTTGAAAACGTGAGAGAGATTGCAGGAATGTCCCAGCAGCTGCCAAGAATTCTTAATTTGGGGGGCTCTTCTTGCTCTCCCTCTCAGGGTTTCTGCGTCATCAGGAGCCAGCTTTTTTAGGTTGCAAAAGGAGTTGGAGCACTGTAAAAAAAAAAGAGTTAAAACCTCTGCTGGAAGCCCACGTGGCTTAGCTGACCAGCCAGCCGCGGCCGGATCCAGCCCGTTTGAAATGAATAAAACTAAAAAAAAAAAAAAAAAGACCGTACCCTTTTATGTAATGATGTTTACTTTGAATTTATATTAGTTCACACAAACACTCCATCCATGCTTTTGTTCCGGCCGTCCGGTCCAGTTTAAGAACCCATTGTGGTCCTCGAGTCAAAAAGTTTGCCTACCCCTGACTAGACCCATTTGGGAGCCCACAAGTGTATATGTAGACCTGAGTTAATGTCTATCTTGGGAAAACTATTCTGAGGAAAAGAAGGAGGAATGATTTTAAGGTCAGCTATGGCTATCTGGGAAAGGGAACACCTGGCTGGCCCTGGTATGCATCCAGCAGATGTAAAATTTCCAAACCCGTGAGCCCAGTGGGACTCAGAACCTAAATAAAACCTTCAATATTCAGCAAGGCAAAGAAGAAGGGCCTTCTGAATTTTACCAAGATTAAAAGATCAAATGAGAAAGTACTCTTGGCCAGACTCCAAGGACCTTTTGGGCCGAGAAATATTAAAAATTACATTTTGTCACCAATAGTTGACCTGACATCTCAAGAAAACTGCAAAGTTAGAGAACTGGAAGGATAGAAGTGCAGAAGAGCTGTTAAAAGAGGCTCAGAGGGTCTATGTACATAAAGATAAGAAAGGCAGAAACAGAAAGCTAAC